GTAAATCAAATATTTTTCAGAGTGTTATTCCTAGGTCTATTACATGCCAACTAAATATATCAAAAGTAGACATGGTTGTCGTACAGTTACTGATGAGGCAATCCTTGATTTATGATGTCAGACGAACTCCTTACTCCGCTCGTATTAAAACCTATGTGTGAAATTAACACACGCTAAGAATCACTTAGTGAGGCATAATAATCATAAGGTAAATTCTAAACACGAGTATATTATAACAATTCGAATATCAATTAACTATTTAATTTCATTATAAATTCTATAGTTTGCACTCGTAATGTCAATAGAATAATTCACCACCTCATTAAGAATTATGTGGGGATGCACATCTACTGCCAATACGAAAATTCATAAACTCATTATGAATTTCTTAGGTTGCACACATAATGCCAATACGAAAATTCATAAACTTATTATGAATTTCTTAGGTTGCACACACAGTGTCAATACGAAAATTCATAAACTTATTATGAATTTCTTAGGTTGCACACACAGTGCCAATACGGAAATTCATAAACTTATTATGAATTTCTTAGGTTGCACACACAGTGCCAATACGAAAATTCATAAACTTATTATGAATTTCTTAGGTTGCACACACAGTGCTAATACTGAAATTCATAAACATATTATGAATTTCTTAGGTTGCACAAATAGTTCCCATTGGGTAAATGCAATACATACATTAAGCAAAATGCATCTATGACTATCATAACATATAAATACATAATAAATGCACTCACCTGGCCTTCCTCGCTATTATATCCAAAAATACAAATCTGACTACTCAGCGACTTTATCTTTGTCTTTCGGTTTGCTTGACTTGGGAGCTTGATTACGATCTATTCAAACATCTATTAAAGACATATACCATACCAAATGTTAGTATATTCCCTAACATTTATACTTTAACAATACTGAAAAGCACTATTATTAAATTTTCTATAACAATCTCAGCCTATCTTAAATTTTATGGCTCAATAGTATCGGTACCCCTACCATGGTATCGATACATCTATACTATGGTACCGATACTCCCTTTCAGTACCGATACCATTTCTACATTCTAGATCCATGGTATCGATACTTCTCTCATAGTACTGATACTTCTATATTATGGTACTGATACTCCCTTTCAGTATTGATACCATTTCTACATTCTGGATTCCAAGGTATCTATACCTTTCTCTTAGTATCGATACTCACTTCAATATCGATACTAGTACATTAGTATCGATACGTTCATCTGATTTCCCCAAATTTAAACCTATAGTATCAGTTCTGTTCTTCCAATACCGATACCCTTACCTAGATTTTCCATTTTTCTGCCCGATTTTTGCCCAAATTTGGTCAAATTTCCTTATGTTTACTCCCAACAATACTATTAAACTCTTCTATACTTATCCCAACTAACCTCCCTTCATTTAGTTCCTTAAACATTTACAATCGCCAAAGAACATTTAAATCCAAGAATCATACTACTTTTTCTAACCTATTTTTACACCCATTCAATGCCTCTAATCTCTTATTTGCTTCTTTGACAAGCCAAATGTACTAGTAAACATCAATAAAAACTCATAGCTTAACATATCATTCAAAAACCCATATTCTTAAATATTTCATCCATCTCTTAGTTTTAATCTTATTTAACCCTTTCTTAAGCCTCTATAATCTTTAATGATTCAAAAACTAACCAAAAACGAAAGAAAAAATTAGCTAAATAAAACCTTACCTTTGGCTATGGGGGAGAGCCTTTACACGGGGAAGAAGAAGAATAGATACTTAGTGTTTTTCACTTTCCCCCTTTTCCTTTACTTTAATACCCTAATAAAAATGAATTTTAAATTTATTTCCCTTAATGCCCTCTTTTTTCATCTATTGTTACAAATTAGTCTAAAACACTATTCCAAATCATTTTCTCATCTTTTATCATTTATTCAAATAAATCCTCAAATTTTAAATGTTTTCAATAAAGTCACTGACCTGATATTTGGGATATTACAAGGATCACCTAATCAAAATGGTGTTGCGGAAAGAAGAAACCTAACTTTAATGGATATGGTAAGAAGTATGCTTAGTAGCTCTAAGTTACCTAAGTCTTTATGGGCTGAAGCTCTCAAACTTTTTGTGTATATATTAAACTGAGTTCCAACTAAGGTCATCCCAAAGACACATTTTGAGTTGTTTAAAGGTTGGAAACCGAGTTTGGGATATATATACGTATGGGGTTGCCCGTCTGAAGTGAGAATTTATAAACCACAAGAAAAGAAACTAGATCCGAGGACCATTAGTGGGTATTTCATTGTATATCCCGAAAGGTCCAAATGATACAAATTCTATTGTCCATTACATAGCACTAGAATTGCGGAATCAAGAAATGCAAAATTTCTTGAGTATGACTTAATCAGTGGTGTAAAAGCCATTTGATATAAATGGGTCTTTAAAACAAAAAGACACTCAATGAGCAACATTGAAATATATAAAGACACTCCTCGTTGAAAAGGGTTTCACTCAGCTTGAAGGAATCAATTTCACTGAGACTTTTAGTCCATTATCTAAGACTGACTCCTTACGCATCGTGTTAGCATTAGTAGCTCATTTTGACCTTGAGTTACATCAAATGGATGTGAAAATTGCATTCCTCAATGGTGACCTAGAGGAAGAGGTATACATGAAATAACCTGAAGGATTCTCCTCTAGTAATGGTGAACACTTGGTGTGCAAGTTGAAAAAGTCAATATATGGAATGAAAAAAGTCTGTCAATAGTGGTATTTAAAATTCCATGAAGTTATCTCTTTATTTGGTTTTGTTGAGAACACCATGGATTAATGTATATACCAAAAGGTCAGTGGGAGTAAAATTTATTTCCTTATCCTATATGTCGATGACATTTTACTTGCAACAAATGACAGGGGTATGCTGCATGAGGTGAAATAATTTCTTTCTTAAAATTTTGACATGAAAGATATTGGTAATGCATCTTCTGTCATTGGCATTAAGATTCATCGTGATAGACATCGATGTATCTTAGGTCTATCTTAAGAAATCTATATCAACAAAGTTTTAGAAAGACTTCGGATGAAAGATTGTTCACCTAATGTTGCTCCTATCGTGAAGGGAGATAAGTTTCATTTGAACCAATGCCCGAAGAACAATTTTGAGATGGAGCAAATGAAAAATATTCCATATGCTTCAATTTTTTGAAGTATGGTGTACGCTCAAGTCTGTACAAGACCTGACATTGCATTTATAGTTGGAATGTTGGGAAGATATCAAAGTAATCAGGGTAACGACCACTGGAAAGATGCAAAGAAAGTTTTGATGTACTTAAAAGGGACAGAGGACTACATGCTTACATACAAACAATCAGATAGTTTGGAGGTGATTGGCTACTCCGATTCAGACTTTGTTGGTTGTGTCAATTCACAGAAATCAACATCATATTACATATTTATGTTTGCTAGTGGAGCTATATCTTGGAGAAGTGCAAGCAAACCTTAACTGCTACTTCCACTATAGAGGCGAAGTTCATCTCTTGTTTTGAGTCTACGTCATATGGAGTATGGCTAAGGAGTTTCATTTCTAGGCTTAGACTTGTAGACTCAGTTTCTAGGCCATTACTGATATATAGTGACAATTCTATTGTTGTCTTTATGGCTAGGAATAACAAAAGTGGAATTTGAAGTAAACATATCGACATTAAGTATCTGGCCATAAGGGAAAGTGTTAAAGAAAAGAAATTGATCATTAAACACATTAACATTGAGCATATGTTAGTTGATCCTTTAACTAAAGGTATGCCACCACATAAATTTAAGGATCATGTTGTCACTATGGGACTTGTTTCCACTTTGTAAATTTTCGTTATAAGAACGATTTTAATGAAATTCCATTTAGTTTGATGTTTCCCATATTGTTTTGTGCACATTAATTTTAATTATTTCAATAAATATCACTAAAGTTTGGACCTAGAGTAAACATTGGGTTTATTCATTAAAAAATTTGGCTAGTGTTGAGATATGGTACATTGTGATACATGGAAGATATAACTTAACTGTAAGAGAAAATATCGCTATGATTCATGCATTATGTTTTGACTTTAAGTTATCTTAGGTAATATGAACCAAGTGGAAGAATGTAAATAGTTAACGTAAACTACTGCCCATTAAAGTGTTTCATAACCACTTCCCATTATGCACGTTCCAACTTTTGAAGTTCCTTATTTTGTGGATGTGTGGATATGGGTTGGTTTTAGGTGGTTTTTGATGGCCAAACCACACTATAAATATGAGGTTAGCCAAGGCCCCTAAACACCAACACATCACATTCCAAAGCATTACATTTGAGAGCATTTAGAAATATACTTCATCTAAGTGAGGTTTTTGAGTGCTTAGAAAATCCTTGGTGGTTATAGCTTTTGTGTAGCCAAGTTCGAAGTGCTCGACGGTGGTTTGTAGTGGTTCACGGTGGTCACCTGTGGTTCAACGTAATTGACAGTGGTACATTCAATTCCCGAATTTCGACATACGGTGTAGGTAATGGCTGGAGGTATTTATAACGATCTCTTTTTCGCTGCATTTGTGCTAAATGTGTTAAAACATGTATTACACAAGATCCAAAAATATTGTCAATTAATTAAAAATAAACATGATTAGTTCAACAACATAGGAAAAACTGAAAACATACCCTAGAAGAAATACATATTGGCCAGTTAAGTTGTCAATGTTTCTAGCCCTTTGCAAGAGTACAAGCTGGCGTAGTATGGCAGCTTCTACCACATTACCTGAAAACCCATTTTTGATAAATAAAAGTAAAGGTTTAAAATGAATTGTAATATAAAAAAAATAAAGTATTTATGATATGAATGCATGATAATGAAAGCATGTTTAGCATCATTCCAAGATGATACTGTGGCATGGAATAGAAAAATGGATAGGATATTAACAGCTAAACTGCTTATGAAACTAAGGTTCAACATAAAATGGGGGAAGAAGAAACAGTCTGGACAATGATAGCAAAACATAGGGGTTTGCTTCGAATAAAGACATTCATGTCGCTTGCTGGACGAGATATTCTGCTAACCAATAGCACCAAAAGACACTTGGACACCAATGCGAGATACAAGAAGATATGCGAGGATGCATGGGAGGATGTCAACCACGTACTAGGTAATTGCACCAATGCAATTGAAATATGGAAGATGCTTATAAAAGAGGAGATGCTCACCGAATTCCTTATAGTTCACATAGCAATCTCGCGATGACAAAACATTAAGCAAAGGATGAAGAATACTGGGACTTATTGTTTGAGCAATTATATAGAATCTCTAGACCCATAGAAACAAGAAAATTTCTGAACCCGGACAGTGTTATTGGGGGATCGGTGCTGGAAATCAGTAAACGATGAGTAAGTAGTCTGAATCAAGCTAGACAAACAGAAACCAATGCTCAAACCAGCACAAGACAAGATGCAATGAGTGAAACTCGCTGGAATAAACCTTCAGCAGGCTGGTTGAAACTCAACACTGACGTGGCAAGAAACTCCTCAAATGGCCATACAACATGCGAAGGTGTACTAAATGACAAACAAAGCTTTTCTAAATTTATATGCAGCTGAATGACTTTGGAAACCGATAGCATGGAAGTTAAGAATGTACTACAGAAAAGACACGATAGAAACACGAAAAATGCACTGCAGCAACATATAGATGGCCTGCTGAATAAAAATTGGGAAGTAAAAAGGATCATATATACCTAAAGGTAATCAAGTGGCTGACGGAGTGACGAGACTGGCCCGACTAGAAGATTAAATATATTATTTTTTTTCGAATCATTACCGGATTGAATAAAGGCCTTCCACCGAGGAGTTTGAGTTATTAACCAAGTATTATTTCTTCTTGTTTACAAAAAAAATATGTGGATAAAACATTAACTAATTGTGAATACTTAAATCGTAAGACTCCAAAATTTTGGTTAGTGACTAAAATATAAATTTTGAAAGTTTGATAGCCAAAGTAGAAAATTGGGAGAAGTTTAAGGACCTAAGTGGAAATTTTCTAAAGAATAATTTTTATTCCATAAATGGATTTTTAGTGACCAAAATATAAATTTTGAAAGATAAGTGGCCAAAGTATAAACTTTGGAAAAGTTTAGAGACTAAAGTATAATTTTAAAAAATTATATAATTTAGCCCTGTAAATGAATAGTTTACCCCCAAGAATGACGTTTATGTGGGAATCATAATTTTCGTACGGATTTGGTATTAAAAGCTATAAAGTGATAAATTCTGGTGAAAATTCGGTATATCGAATTGAATAGAAATTTTGAAGGATTATTACCACATTTTAAAATGATGGAAAATAATATGGAGCATTGGATTTGAGGATTTAATTCCGTGTTAAATTTGGATTGTTGGATTAAAGTGGTAAGATTGTAATTTTGGGAAATTACAAGGGTAAAACGGTAAAGTGGGAAATATTTTGTTCATCTTTGACTTTTGGAAGATGATAATATTGAGTTGTCTTGATTTTTATGGTAAATATGAAGTTTCATTAAGGGTAATTTGATCTTTTCTCAATTAAATGAATAAAATATTCATTTAAGCTAAATTGAAGGTAAATTAAAATTAAATTTACCTAACATTTTATGAAACATTTGTTCATCTTATCCTCCAAGCCGTGAGCCTCTCCCAAAGCTAAGATTTGTTTTTCAATTTTTTGAGCAATTTCCTTTGGATTTTAAGTTATGTTGTGAAAAATGAAATTATTCTACACGAAAAACGCTATCTTTTGGTACCATTTATGCTTGCTAATCTTGGTTGATTTCAAAGATCCTAAATTTTAGGGTTTGTTTTCACATTAGGGTTCATGAAATTGATGATGAATCTTGATGTTTTTGAGGTTGTAGATTCATTTCCAAGCTTGTTTGATGATTAAAACATGTTCAATCTTACTAGAAATGTTTCTTTGATATTCAGCTAAATTATAAGTCGGGGAAACTTTTTTTTTTGATGAAATTTGATTTGGGATTTGATTGTAAAGTTGATTTAAGGTTGGATGAAAGTTGATTTCATGCTTGAATCAAATCAAAATCGAGCAAAATCATGAAAAAAACCTAGTTTTGGAACTTTGAACCATTCGACCTTGGTCTTAAAGGATAAGGAAAATTCTTCAAAAATTATGTAAGGGCTGGAAATGATGTAGGAAGTATTCTACAAACCTTATAAAAATTTGGGGACCATTCTGTAAATTTTGAAAAGTTGGGGACCAAATCAACAATTTTTAAAAAGTTGTGGATTGTTGTGTAATTGTTTAATAGTTGATGTGATATACTGGAAATTAATGTTTGAGTGTTGAAATTGAAGTTAGGATATGAAATTTGATTATTTTGGAAAACTTATAAAAGTTAAGGTTTAAAGCACAAATACGGAAAGTTTGGGAGCTCAAGTGAAAATGTTATGCGAATTTGGATTAAATGGAATTTGAATGGTCAATTGGAAGTGTTAAGGTCAACATTTATGTTGTGACATAGAAATGGTATCGAATAAGCATCGGAAAATTTGTTAGGAATTTATTTTCCTAAGTATGTCTATGTTAGTAAGATTCTAACATTTGGTTTGAATTTGTATATGTTTGGTAATGAAGTTCATCTAGAGATTGAGTGCTTGAATCAAGATCAAATATTATTAAAGCTAAGGAGAAGCTTAAGGATGAAATGGGAAATTCCAAGGAAGGTTGCAAGCTAAGGACTCTAGATGAGTGCAAATTTAATTTGTACTTATGTTATCGAACAAACATTGGCTTGCGATGAGCCAATGATGGAGTAACTATGGTAAGGAGTGACTGCTAAACGTTATGTTATTTGTGATGCATGCATATATGTGCATTTGGTGAGATAATAGAATTAGTAAACAAGTTGAAAATGCAAATTTGTGAAATCTGCTTAGAATTTATGTGCTAGGTAGTAAGTTTAGAAAATCACCCTAAATTCAAAAAAAATGATTAGAGGGTGAATTGTATTACGTTGAACTCGTATATAAGTTTAATTTTTTTAGAACAAACAAAAACGGATTTCATGGTGTATAAAAAATATATGAATTTTTAACCGATGATAGGTCGGAAAATGGGGCAGCAGATTCTACTCAAAACAGATTATGTCGGTCAACTTTGAAAATTCACCATAAATTGTACAAATTTAACTAGAAGGACTTCCTTATATGGATAGATTCATATTTGAGTCTAGTTTATATTGGTATAAGAGGAATAATTTTTAAAGGTGTAGATTAGTACATAATAATATTTCTTTAAAGGTTGTGCAAACTATCAGGATATGAAAGTATGAGAAATTTTGGTTTTAACCAAATTAGAAGCAAATGATCAAGTTAAAGCTTAGTGAATCTTATATTTTGACTTTTATAAAATTTCAAAGTGATTGCAATGCATAAATAACATTATACAAGGATGTTTTAGATATCATTGGGTAGGACTTGCGATAAGTCTACCTTGTTTATATTGGATGATATTTATGTCATTTATCATATATTTGACATATTCTAAATATGTCAAAGGTTGAATATAAAATGCATTGATCACTGATTGTTACATATGATGTTATCATGAACATATATGATATTTATCTTGATATTTCGGGTATGAACTGCCCAATGTTAAATGGTATTGATATACTTTGCCAGGGATGGATCAAATAAAAATAGACTATATGCAAAAGTATGTTATTGAGGGTCAGTGGTATTAATGGCATGCCATAGAGTCTAGCAGCTGCATATTAGGTAGCACTAGAGTGTCTAGATAAGGCACATAGTGCTGGCCTCAAAGTGTCTAGCGAAGACACACGATACAAAACACTACGGTGTATAAGGTGAGTAAAGCCCGACCTCAACACTACGGTGCGTTATTAGGTGAGCCATGCTCTACCTCGGCACTACGATGCAATATTTGACTCCTATATCGGGGTCCTCATACAATTATACTTTGGGCTATGATTTATTGGTTAATAAATGATAAACATGCAAATAAGCTTACAAGCTTATGGGATAAATGGCAAGTATATTTGGTAAGAAACTTGATATCCAGTTATATTATGTTAATATATGATAACATGGTTGGAATACAAGTAAAGTGATCATACTGCATTGAATATGGTTATTCATTTTAAATTTATTTGTTGCATTGTTTTAAATATTCATGTGATTGCCTCACTAAGTGTATACTTAGAGTGTGATGATTTTCACGCGTAGGAAAAAGGGAAGAAGATGAGTAAACAACTGAGCTTGGCATCAATCAACACGGAAATATTTAAAGGTAAAAATGATGACATTCTACTGTGTTTTAAAAGTTCTAGCTGGCATGTATACGAGAATGAAATGTTTGAAATTTCCTAATATAGTTAGTATTAAATATAATTAATAGTATGAATAAATATTGATATTAAACTATGCTTAAATAAAATCAATTTGGGTTTTAAATCAAATGTGGTGCACAGTCGTATTTATTTTATGAAACATAATGGAATTGTCTATCACTGCTTGAAACTAGTTTTGAATTAGTAACCAACAATATTATATTACGATTTTTCTCTGAATAATTCTTTTATAATAATTGTTCAAGTTATGAAAATTGAGATGTTTGAATGAAACAAAATTTTACTCGATTTACTTAAAGAAATGTTTTTACATTTCTGATGTGATATTTTTAATTCGTATTGGTTTGCATATACGGGTTATTTGGTTTGCATATACGGGTTATGGGTGTTACATAAATTTTAGCTCAAGCTATCATGCAAAAATTATTCATAATATAAATTGTTAATACATTTGTGAATGGTTAAATATATTCAATTAATAACATTCACTATATTTATGTTTGAGAATGTATAATTTAGTTAATATTTATATTTTTCGTATAATAGATTATAATTTAAATAGTGTTGGTTCAATTAGTACGAATATCTATTTAGAAACGATTATAAAATTAACTATTTTTTTGTCGAAAACTTTTTTTTAATATAAAGAACGACAACAAACTAATTGGAAGGCGTTAAACCATCAGCACGAATGGCAGCGTTGCATTCCTACGGAAGATCATGGAAAACAACAAAATTATACGGAAGAGACCACGCCAGATATGCCAAGGTATCCGTTACCCAGTTACACTCCCAGGGAACATGACGAAGAGAAATAACCCAAACTTGTTACAGAAAGTCATGAACGTGCGAAATTAACGATGAAATACCCCTCGAAGATCCGCTTTTGCTAAGCAAAATAATCATATCTTTACTGTCGGATTCAACTAAAATCCTTCGCAAGCCCTTATCCCAAGCAAGACGCATCCCTTCATAAAGACCCCATAGCTCCGCGTCAAGGATCGAACAACACCCAATAGTTTTAGCGAAACCCATAATCCACGAACCAGTTAAATTTCTAATAATTCTGCCAGAGGAAGCCAAACCGGAATTTGTTTTCCTAACACCATCAGTATTCAACTTGTAGAAATCATTTACCTCAAATCGGATTTGATGGGTTCATCACGAGGGGCAGCTATAAGTTAGATATGGAGAAGGCATATGACTGTCTCGAATGGTTGTTTTTACGGTCGATGCTTTATCATCTTGGTTTTGATACGAGATGGATCTCTCTTGTTATGTCTTGTGTGACATCGGTTACTTATTGTGTCCGCATCAATGGTGAACTAACAGACACGATTACTCCGGAACGAGGCCTTTGACAAGATGACCCACTCTCTCCGTTCCTTTTTGTGCTTGGTATGCAAGGATTATCTTCCTACCTTCACTCCGAGTAAAATTTGGGCAATATCCTAGGCTTACGTGCTAGTATTCAAAATCCACGTGTTTCACATCTTTTTTATGCAGATGACTGTCTTGTGTTCTTACGTAATTCTGAGCCGAAGTTTCACTGTCTTTGCGCAGTTCTCTCTGAGTATAAATTAGCTTCCGGACAGCATGCTAACTTCTCCAAGTCTAGTGCATATTTCAGCCCTCATACTCGGACGAATCGGCATGTGACCCTCTGTTCAATTGTTGGAATTCAAGCAGTGGATGATCCACGATTTTACCTAGGATTTTCAATGTTAATTGGCCAAAACAAGAACATGGCCTTTTCTTTTCTTCGTGATCGGGTGATATCATGTGTTAGGGGTTGGGCAAAGAATCTCCTTTCATACGGCAATAGAGAGATATTTATTAAAGTTGTGGGGCAAGCAATACTGACATATTGTATGGGATGCTTCCTGTTACCGGGCAGTCTCATTAACGGCATTACAGGGTCGCTTCGTGATTTCTGGTGGTCGGGTAAGTTAGATATGCAAGGGTGGCCTTTACTCTCATGGGAATCCATATGTAAATCAAAAAGGCTCAGGGGTTTGCGTCTACGGGATCTGCTCACTTTCAATATCGCTATTTCGGGTAACCGGATTTGGAGACTGGACTCGAATCCTTCTAGTCTTGTCTCACGGGTTTTAGCGGCAAAATATTACCCATCGGGAGATCTATTTGCAGCAACTCTTGGTCAACACCCATCCTTAGCTTGGCGAAGAATTTATCAGGCTTTGTGTGCTCTTCGAGAAGGTTTCCATTGGAGAATAGCCATTAACAGTGCAGTTCAAATTCATCGACAATCATGTGGTGGTTCACGTCCAGTTGTTCTTCATGATTATTATGTTGATCTTACTTCAAACCCGGTTCGATGTGGTGATTTTATGGAAATAGATGCGCCGAATTGGAATGTCCAGCTAGTTCACCAGGTATTCTCTGATTTTGATGCAGCTTCTGTGCTTCAATGCCCGATTGCTCCGGTTCACGTAGATATTCGTATATAGGGGGCATTCAACGGGTGTTTATTCGGCACGATCTGGTTATTTCTGGTTGATGCGTGCTCAAAATACGTATGATTCAGTTTTTGGTCTTTGGTTATTTTTTTCGCGCCTTTCAGCCCTCCCCAAGGTTCGTTTATTTGGATGGTGTCTTGCTCATGAGGCTCTACCAGTTCGTGCTCGTATATCCTTGGTCGGTCTTTGCAATAGAATATGTTCGATGTGTGGTAATCAAATAGAAACTGTTCTTCATGTTGTTCGGGATTGTTCTACTGTGAGTTCTATTTTGCAAGATGTTGGATTTGACTTCTCACGCTTACCTGCTTCGATGTCTTCCTGTGGCGACTGGTTTGAGTCGTTAAGGAGTATCTTCTCTTCGTCTCAATTTGCTGGTTTTCTCGTTTTGCTTTACTTCCTTTGGCAGCGACGTAACACCTTTGTTCATGAGGTTTTTTTAGCGCCTAGATGGTCTCTTCTTCATGAAAGCACGACTTTGCAACAATCTTATTTGTCAGCTTTGTCCCATCTGTCGTGTAACCATGCTAGCAGCAGCTCAAGATGGTGTAAACCGGGCCCTGGTGTAATTAAGATAAACATTGACGGTGCTTGTCCGGGAAGTCCGGCTATTCCGGCTTTGGGAGTGGTTGTTCGTGATGCTAATGGCTTGGTTGTCTCTGGGTTTTATCGTCCCATTCAAGTCTTGAATGATCCAGCCATTGTAGAAGCTCATGCGTTAGTGGCGGGAATTCGATGTGCTTCGGAGTTTCCGACTGGAGACATTATTGTGGAAAGTGATTCAAGAAACTTGGTTGCTCAACTCTTATCACAGCATATTGATCTTTCTCTAGCTTGCTTTCATCTTGTAGTTGCCCGTTAACTTCTTGCGTCTCATCCTCACATCAAGGTTTCCTTTGTTCGACGTTCTGCCAACCAGGTTGACCATTCTTTGGCTCATTGGTGTTCTTCAACGCAACAAGCCCTTTACACTACAGTAAAACAGGTTTTTAGCGGCATTTTTTCAGTCATATAGAGGCGTTTTTAAACGCCACTAAAAACCTTGTGGAGAAAAAAATGCCGCCAAAAATGCCTCTAAAACCAATGTCGCAAAAGGTAACGGCATTTTTTGTCTACAAACGCAGCAAAAGGTTATATTTTTAGCGGTGTTGTTTCCATAAATGCCGCTAAAGATTATGATATTTAACGGCGTTGTTGAAAACGCCGTTATATATATATATTTTCTTTTGTGGCATTTGAAAAAAACACCACTAAATGTTTTGACATATAGTGGTGTTTGTTCCCAAAAACGCCGGTAAAGGTAATGGCATATAGCGGCGTTTGTAAATTTAAAATGTCACTATTAACTATGTCTATAGTGGCATTTTTGTATAAACGCCGCAAAATATCTAGAACTTTAGTGGCGTTTTTTTTTCTAAAACGTCGGTATTGAGTATGTATTTAGTGGCGTTTGTTAGACAAATGCAGCTAATTAACACATTTTTTGCCAATGGTGTTTCATGCTCTTTTGTTACCCAAATTTAAATTTTTAACATGTAGTATTATCCAATAAAAATGACATCCATAAGAACAAACTTGAAATCCATAATAATAAATCAAATTTTACATTAACGTAAAATATAATGCAGTTCAACATTATTAACTAGAATGAACAAAGCATATATCTAAAATAACACCTAAAATGGTGGACTCTGAGGTTGATTTTGTTGTATTATCTGCATCATAGCTTCAAGTTGATTTTCAAAGTCTTGACATTTTTGTTGATATGATGCTTCCCTCGCTTCATTTTCGGCTTTCATTTGAGCCATTTTTTGATCCATTTCAGCCAACTGTTGTTTTAAACGACTAACTTCTAATTGTGAAGACTGACTCTGTGATGACATGTACTAAGATAAACTGAATCCAAAATATTTGGTGGGAGTAACGAATGATCCTTGACAGCAAACCCAACCATATCTTTCAGGACCCAATACTTCATTATTAACTTGATTTTCGATGTCATTTGCATTAACAATATCATGACTTGAAGTCGTAGCTTCATACTCCGCCCTTTTATCCCTCATTTTTTTTTCTAATAATCAATTAAATAATTATTTTAAATAAGAATGTCATACTATATATATAAATATAACATAATTCAAAGCTTGTGTCCAATAAATATACCATAATTTCTACAGCTTCGTCAGTCATAGGAGTCTCATCCTTTTTTGTATGTGTCATGTCAAAGAGCTTTATTCCTCCAACTTTACAACCATATGTATTTTCCTACAATGTAGAATAAAAATTAAGTTTTGCAAAAAAATTAATTAATAATATAACTAATTTTCGTTAGTATGTGCTACCAACTGTAAACCACTATGTGAATACTCAATAATACCTCATCATTAGATATACAAGCAAAGATCTTCGATCCAACTGTGTGAGTAAACTTTTGTTGTTGTCTGCTAGAAACACCAACATGCTCTCGGTCCTACAATTTGAAATATTTACTTATAAAGTCAACATTATAATGACATTATATTATTTTTGAAAAATACATCATATTTGTCTTTTCTTTGAACTCAAAAACCTGATTGCATCTTCCCATTGATACTTGAGCATTCCATGTGGGACAGTTTGCAGCTTCTCTTCAAGACTGAGATCATTCTTGAAGTATTTCTTTTTTAATGAACTCTTGTGGTCTCTCCATCTCTTCCTCAACGCTTGCTTCAAATAATTTTCTAAAGTATCTAAAGAAAATTTCTCCTACAAATAACATAAGTGTTCAAAGTAAGTATAAATTACTATTGAACGGTTATGAATTATCTATTATAATGACATTATTACCTTAACAAAATCCAAAGCCTGATTTTTGTTACTATTTGGCATTTCACTCCATGAGTCATAATTGTTTGGTAAAAGATTAGCATTACGTACAACCATGCCTAAGTAACCGGATAGAATATGTGCTTCTGGGCCAATAGGTTGACCGAAATCGTTTCTTGAAACTTTCACACGGTGCCCATGAGGAAGTTGGTATAATTTCTTCTATGTTGTATGTCCTCTAGTCTTGCATGTTCGACCATTTTCAACTATATAAGAAATAATTAAATGTACGCTTTCAAAATGAACCATCAATTAAAGAAAGTGTCGAACATTACCTTCAATTTCTACATCTTCTTCAACAGTAATCGGAACTTTCGAAGAGTCAACAGCAGTCGATTCCTCATTATTTGTTTCTTCATCCTCTTGAGAAGCTCGAACAATCCGTAAATCACTTAATTTTTTCCTGGGCATGATATATGTAATAAACAAACAACAATTTTTGTGAAAATATTACTATTAATGAATATGTTGAAGGGTAACATGTTATAAGTTATAATATTATAAATTAATAAATTAAGATATAAAATCTTACTACATTCTTATGTCATATCAATTCTCATAAATATCTTCATTCACGTTCTCTCGAACCCATTGAAATTGTGTAGTATTACATATAGTTTCATCTAAGTTTTGTGCTACAAAACGTAAAGATTTTGATCTTGTTTCAATGTCATCTCTACTTCCATCCCCGATGTCTATCAACTCTCTGTGGGTATTAAGGAGCACAACATACCAACCCTCATCCATTAGATCGTGGTAGTAAAAAAATTGTTTGACTTGAGAAGAAAATACATAAGGCTCATCCATCAATCATTGACCTGTGTGAATTATCAAAAGAAATTCAACATTGTAAAACCAAATTTATCTCTTTTTATGCCTCGAGTAGTGTTTACATCAACCCAATCACACTGAAACAACATAACCTTTCATTTTCCATAATAATCCAACTTAATAATGTCCGTAATAATTCCATAATATTCTACATCTTCCTCCAAATGATGATTTTCCCTGGCACTAGCATAACTTGAAGTTGAAGAAGTAACAACTACTCCACAATTTTGTGTCCTCCTTAATCTTTCATGAGATTTCATGTAGAACCTGAACCCATTAATGATGGAGGAATTATATCTTTTAACAATTCTATTCGGACCTTGAGAAAGTCATTTAACATCTTCACTAACTTCTCTCCCCCTCCAAACCTATTACACGTGAAAGGTGAATTAATTAGCATTTATGTCGATATATTAAAACAAGAGTTATATATTATTTACAACTATGTGCAATGATTTAGTTGCTTAGCGTCTACCCTAACCATTCATGAAAAGTTTGTGTGAATAACTTATGTATCTCTCGTTGATGTAATCTTCGGGAGTGTGCTCGAGATCTCAAGACTTCTTTAAACTCACTATAAAGTTTATTATGTTGTTAAAGAATGAGAAATATAAAAGATTAAGTAAATACATTAGGATTTAGTCCGTAAAATTTATGTGCCAAAGGGATCTATTGAATCGTGATGGAAAATAACATATTGGTGTGCTTGTACTCAAGACTTGTCATCTAAGTATGCAATTTCAACTTTGCTGAGTGGTTCACCATAACTTCCAAACAAATAAGTCTCAACTAAGTCATTAGTAATGAACACATCATTTCTATTTGGTTTATTCAATCTTGTTTCAACATCTTCCAAATATCTAGAGCAAAATGTCATATATTCCTCTACTAAATACCCTTCAGCAATTGATTCTTCTGGATAACGCTTATTACAATAATAAGACTTCAACTTGCACAAGAACCTGTACACAAAACAAAATAATATGTAAATAGGTTTTGAAGATACTAAAATTTTTTTTTTTATCCATATTATTATTATTAATATTATTATTATCCTTATTATTATTAATATTATTATCATTATTATTATTATAATTATTATTATTATTAATTTATATTAAATATATTAAATACATAATAATAATTACAGGCCCAATTACAACTGGACCGGCCCAGTTACAAACCAACCAGAGCCGGTCCAAATCCAACCAGAAACCCTAAATATTTGGGTTTCCAGTTAGGGTTTCCTAACCCTAATCATCCTCAGCCGCCTCATCACAACCGTTGGATCTGGCACGATCCAACGGTCCACATAGTTCCAGAGAGAAACCCTAGGGTTTGATACCCTAGGGCCACGCGGCGCCGCCCCAGCTTCCACGCGGCTGCCGACAGTCTTCTCGCCGCCACGCCGCTGCCACGTCCCAACCGAAGACTCCAGAAGATAAAATGGCAGCCGTCCACGCCATGGCTACTCGGTGAGTCACCACTGGTAGTCCGGTGACTCACCGAGAGCCCTTCTTCGGACCGGTCTGACGGCTACACCGGTGGTGGCTATAAAAGCCACCACCCACCTGCGAAAAAAAAAAAAAGGAGAGGACAGAGAGACAGAAAGGAGGGACAGAAACAAAGGAAAAAAAAACAGAGAAAATAACAACTACCAACGATCCCAGTCTACAACAACAGAGCAAAAACAAAAGGAAAAAGGAAGAAAAAAACTTACCGAGGGAACCGTTGGTCATCAGAACCTTTTTGGAGCCATCGGAAAGTCAAAGGTCGAAGGTATAAACTTTAGATCTACGCATTTCAGTAGTATTTTAGGCTAAAAAACCTACGGATCTAGCTTTAGGGAAAACCAGGCTTTAATTTGGGGTGGGATTTGTAATTTCCGGCCACCGGATATGGCGGCCGGCGGTGGTATTGACGGTGGCTAACGGCGGCCGGCCGGAGAGCTTCTCTCTTTTCTAGAGAGAAGCGAGAGAATTTCTTTCTCTCAGAAAAGAGAGAGAGAGAAGAGGGAGAAATGAGGCTGGCCCTTCGGGCCAGCTGATTTTAGGCTTAAATAGCCCTTCCCGAACGACGCCGTTCTGGGAAGGGCTATTCACGTAATTACGAAATAGTTAAACCCCGGCCGCAGTCCTTCGTATTTGTAAATTTTACATTTTGGTC